TGTGCTATATAATAGTATTTTGTCAAGATTAAACCAGGCTTAAAATGAAGATTAAATTCAGTATTTTTCGGGCCGGGGGATTTAGCTCAGTGGTTCCACTGCCTGCCTCGCAAGCACAAGGTCCCGAGTTCAATCCCCAGTACCAAAAAACAGTTGAGTATTTTTCAGAAACTAACTCTCATACCGGTGAATGCTCAGCTCTCTGGTTTCTGAGGCATTGTCTGTGCATAAAGAAACATAAACAAAGCAATACCAATGAGTCTTACGCAGAATGAATCCCTTACTAATAAGTGAGTCACGGAGCGAAGCTCCCATACAGTACACAGATACAAGTCAGTGCACCTCTCGATGCCATCCACTCTGGCAAGCATCAGAGTGCAGGCTGGACAAGGGCCAACCAGTTGCTCAAATAGTCCCAGTTTGCATACAGTAAAGATAACAGAAACCTGTGAGATCTGTTCTGGAAAACTGTAGTCTATGATACCCTCATTGTTCATCATGTATTCAGATAATTAAATGGTGTTTCAACAGAAGGGCAAGAAAAAGAAATAAAAGATGTAAGTATTAGAAAAGAGGCATGCTGTATTTATTTTTGTAACATGAAATTGTACACATGGAAAAAAATCTACAGATAGATAGGCTACTAGAAGATATAAATAAGTTTACTAAAGTTGCTGGCCATAGGCACAATATACAAAGGTGTTTTTTTTTCATAACAGAAAAACTACTAGAAATTAGTATTTTTGAGTAACACCAAAAATGGCAATAAACACAAAATGAATCCAATGAAATGGATGTAAGACACACACAAAACTACAAAACATGCAGAGAAATTAAACAAGATTCATTATACAAAGGGCTAACATGGAAGAAAAAACTATGTTGATGAATGTGAAGACAAAATTTTGCAAAGATTTAATTCTCTATACATTCAATATAATCCCAACAAAAATTTCTGGCTGTCTTTGTGTATCTTGACAAGCTGTATTTAGACCCAACCTAAATCTTCCCCCTCCAGCATGACCCAGAATAACCTACTAAAATGGAAATTATAATGTGTCCCTCACAAGGTTCCTGGGAAGATAAACTGGTTGATTTAGATTACATTTTGCAGTTATCTGCCATTGGTATTTCCCATTTAATTGTCTCTCTCCTTCAGTTGACTGTAGAGGTTCCTTGAGGTCAGGTACTGTGATTTTTTTCAGTTATAAGCCCAGTCCAGATTCCCAAAGAATGTTAAATCAATAAGTGTGTTTTGAAATATTACTGTGGGAAGTAGGTGGTGGTTCAATCAAATCTATTTGGACCTAAAATCAAAGCTGTGTATCAATAAATAGCATTATAAGGGCTGGTCCAAAATGGAAAGTTAGTTCCAGAAGGAATATGGAAACCCAGTTCCAACAACTGAGGCACATGACCAAGAAAAAATAAGCTTAATTAGATATTGAACCAGCTGAGATGAAATTGAATCAGGAGTAGATCTAGATCCCAAGGCAAAGTTGATTCTGAAGCTAAAATGACATCACCTTGGCTGGAGAGAAATGTTTCTCTAGGGTCTAGAGTTGAAGAGGATCCTTACATATTGATGATCTTTGTTATATATTCTGATTAAAATATAAAATAATAAATAAGCTCATTTCAACACTACTGTGGAGGACTTTATTTAAGAGACAAGGTCTCACTCTGTTTCCCTATCTGGCCATGAATTTCTGGGCTCAAGCGCTCCTGCCTCAGCCTCCCCAGTAGCTGAGACCAGAGGTACACACCCCTGAACCCACTGTGTCTTTATTTTAGGCCTCTTTACTTCCTCCCTTTGGTGGTGGGGTATGTAGCAGCAGTGACGAGTGAGAATGGAAGTCTCATTCCCAGATGTCTGCAAAGGAAGCTAATGCTGGCCTGAACCTCCTTCCCCAGGATAACCCCAAAGGGAGCATGGAACTACTCAATCCTTGGGTGACTGGAACTAGGATGAACAAAGCAGCAGATCCAAGAGGCTAAGTAACTTGCCCAAGTCACCCACTACAATGTGGAAGGAACAGATGGAAAATTCATCTGTCTGTCCCCACGTCCTGGCTTATTCCCATGGCCCATGGTGCTTATATAAGAGCATTGCAATCCCAGCCCTAACCTGCACCCACCTTCCCCAAGTCCCCAGGGCCCAGAGATGTGGATGTTCCCTATCATTATTCCCCAACGTCATACCTCATTATGTGTCCATGCAAATACCTTTGTACCATACAGCAGGACAATTCTCTTCTGTACACACCTGCTCGTTTCCTGTGTGGGGTGTTCCCACATTCTTCATTTTTTTATCAACTAAAATCTCTCCTGTCCCAACTCATCATACCCTGCACTGAGAACTCCTGAAATTTAGCCACTTCCTCCTGGGAAGTGTGAGAAATGGGCAGATGTGAGTTGCACCCTCTGCCAGACTTTTTTGGTGGCATTGCACATTGACTGCCTCCCAAAGCTTCTGTAGCTCCTCCTAAACCAGTTCCCCACCCCTGGGCTGACTGCTATCTCCTGAAAAGCTGGCTTGGCAAAGAAACACCTTGTAAATTTGCCCCTTCTGATTGTAATTCAGACTTTCAGCCATGCCTCCTAAGGGAACACAAGGAGGTGGGAAGAGATGACCAAATTCACCTGGCTACAGTGTGCAGCTGGAAATGGACTTCTTAGTAAAAGGCCAGGTGGGGCCACATCTATCAAGGTACTAACTTGTGCACAGAGATGACAATAGACAGGAAGAAGAAATTCCTGAGAGGAAAGTGTGTCTTCAAGCTGAGCCTCCTGGACACCGGGGTTAGAGCAAGAGAGTTATCCAAGGTGCTGGGCAGTGCCCTTGTAACAAATGTCCCCTCTGCCCCACCCTCCACCTTTCCCTGCCTGGCTTGATTTGATTAGTCAGTTTTCTCCCAAACATAAAGTAGTGTGGTTCTGTTTACCATCTTGGCTCTGGCCCATTGGAGCAAGCCCAACTTCACCAGGGGTTCTAGGCTTTCTAATCTGACAAATTTTACCTGCAGTGAATGCAGCTCCCTGCTTGGGTTCGGTTGTTCTTTTCCCAGTTCCCCACAGCTCCTTCTCTGATCTCATTTCCCTTCCTGAAGTTCTAACCTCTCCTCCCTTCATCTCTTCTCACGTTCTTTGGAGCCACTGGGCCCAGCCTGGGTCACACTTGTCTGGTCCCATGATCCCTCGGAGCTCCTGGCCACATCTGTGTCTCAGATCATTCATGGCACCAAGCCTGTGGATAGAACTTCCACACACTGACATTGTTTTACGGTGTGTCATTTCTTCCACGAATGGATTTTGGGTCACAACCAAAGACATAAAAAAAATTTTTTTTCTCCACCTGTACCCTTCAAAGTAGAGGCATATAGCAAGAAGTCAACAAATATTTACTTAAAATTACCAAGCAAGAATTCTTTTTCTCTTTGTCCTGTCACCTAGGAAGTTTTGTTTGTGTTTTTCCATCAAGGCCAAATTGAATCAGAATCTCTGGGGATGCATGGCAGGCTCTGTTTTTGGAAGTGTTCCAGGTGATTTAGAGTTAATGTTAGGATTAGGGTTCGAACTCAGTGTGTTGTTAAGAATTGCTGCCCCTTGTGGCAGCTCCATGACACATGGTCAGGTTTCTTCTTTTGAGAACCAGAATTTGTCCTAACTGGATGGATAGATTTGCAAATAATTTGAACGTAACATGCATTTCATGTTTGCTTACATGTGTCAGCTACAGGAAACATTAGGTGAATGGAGAAAAAATACTCATCCATGGGCCAAGCCACGAAGGAAAACACAAAGTGTATACTTTGACCAAAACCCTAGCACATAGAGTGTGGCATGCACGTGAACTTCAAACACCTGCCGACTGCCTCAGTTTACCCCTTGTAAGCCACACCCACCCTCTGCTGGCTGCAGCTTTCTGGTGATTTTCTAACAAGTTGCAACCTTTTTGACAGACACAAGAGCGAACTTCAAGTCCTTATCACATTCACCGCAGTATTTACGTATTTCTTAGCCCTTGACATGAGTCAAACTGAGTTGCCCTTTTTATTAGTAACCCAACAAATCTTGGCATATTTTATCCCTGGGTCTTTTTCCTCATAAGCTCTGTGGTTTCCACTGCTGATTTTGTACAGCAAGGTGATGCTTGGAAAAGCTGTGTTGTGTAGTTGCAGAGCCAAGAGCCCTGAGCGCAGTACTTCTGCTAACGTGGGCTGAAAAGATGGAGCATGTGGGAAAAGAGAAAGGAAACTAAATAGGATTAGCATAGCAGATTATAAATTTAACCAAGAAAATCCACTGAAATCAAGGCCATTATTTGGCTTAGAATCACATAATACTCTGAGATTTCTGGATCGAGAGAAATGAAAGTCGTTTTCCCAGTATCAAGAGTCAGGAAGGAAATATAGATTAATAAATGAATGCTTGTGAAGTTCCATAAGTCTGGAAACTAAACTAATGTCTCTCCTCTGAGCACCTTATTTTCATAATGTCAGAAGGGAATACCAGACAGTTGACTGACATTTTTCATCCTTTGAATCTTACTATTTGGATAGGAACCTATGCTTCTCTTGTTCCTAACCCAATACTAAATGTTTGACTGCAGCCCTGCAAAGAGGGGCTCAGTGAGTTTTTTGTTTGTTTAGTGAAAAGTGGGGACTGCGTGGTTTTTATGGTTTCAGCCTTGATCAATTGTTCTACCCCCACCCACATGGCCAGCTTCAGTCCTCATGAATATCTCACTGTTTAAGGCCAAACTGGCAGAGAGCCTCTGAAAGACGGTCCAGGTGGTGTCCTTTACCAAAACTCCCAGGCCCCACTCGGGAGCCCATGGCAGAAGAACCCCCCGGGGTCTGGCAGGACTGGTGGAGGGGGGGGTGGTAACAGGTTTGGCACCCCAAATGTGAGGCCCCATTCCAGAAGCCCATGTCGAATGAACACACACATATGTTGTGAAAGGTAAATTTATTCATTTTTATTTCTAAAATAACCAGAAAAAAAAATATATATATATAGTGGTTTAAAAAGACACACACACACACGTGTGTGTGCAGATACACACAAACAGTTATACCTACAGGAATATTTTGCCTGTTTCACAAGGTTAAGATCCTAAAAGCTAAATTATTTTACTCGAGCTCTAAAATAGAATAAAGTAATAAATATATTGCCTTCTGTTCCCCATCTTAGGAAACCTACTGTGAATAAACTGCCTCCAAATAGATTCAGTGTTTCTCCTGCCAGCTGGCCCTTGTGTCCCGACCCTCAACCCAACCCCTGAAACTGGACGTGACCTATTCCCAAACACCAGGGCGCATGCAGAGGGAGGGATGAGGGGACAGCAGGGTCACAGCAACCTTGGGAGTAAAAGAGACCCAGCCTCCATGGAGGCTACCGCAGGCTTTGTAGGTCCATGCCTGATCTTGACGAGGAGAGAGGAGCCAAGGCCTGCTGGTCACGGGCAGGTCCACAGGTCAGCAGAGCCTTGTTATTACGCCTAGTCCTCAGATGTCATCCTCACTGTGCGCGTCGTGAGGTGTCACTCCCAGCAGGAGGAGGAGGACGTCCTCCATGGAAGCACAGCAGTCACCTCTCTCCAGCCTTCCTCCCACATGCTACTTCTCCTGGAGCTCACCTGTTCCCCAGGACCAGGCATCGGAGGATGGGCACCTGGGCAGAAGGGTTGGAACACCTGTTGGTAGTAAGAGCTGACATCCGACAACTTAGCTCCAGCTAGGCCCTGCTCTGGGGCTCTCGTGGGTCCGCTCACTTAATCCTGAAACCCCCAGGAGGTCGTGCAGCCTTCACCCTACACCTAAAAGAGGGAAAAGGCTCTGAGCCATGGTAGGGATCTGCGCTCCAGCCTGGCTTCTGTGCCCTCTGCTTCCCCATGCTGCCTCTGACCCTGAACTGGTGCCCACAGCCCCCTCTCCTCTCCCCGGGCCGGATGTGGCCTCCAGAAGAACTCTCTCTAAATTCACAATCCCACAGCACACCCTGTTGCTCCCCTGGGATCGCTGCTCAGCCATCTCACTGTCACTGTAGAGTGCACTGATCCTGCATCGTCTCCCGTGAATTTCAGGTGCCAACAAGTGGATGAAGGTGTTCCAGAGGGACAGGAGCCTTCCTGGTGTCCCTGACCACCCTAGGTGATACAGCCTGAGTCTCACTGAATCATTACCTTCTTATGGGCAGCAGTAGGCTCCCCAGGAATGAGAACACCGCTCCAAGATGGGATCCTCCTATCAACATCTACTGAATCTGGCGCCCCACTGTCCGTCACCCTGGGACCATGTGGCAGGCCTATTTGGGTCCTGTCTGAGGTCATCAAGACAAAGGGCACCTATAGTGAAAGCCTCCTTTCAGTGGGAGCCCAGCTCCAGTCCCCACACTGTCTCTCCTCCTGGGAATTCAACTCCTCCCGAGACCCTGCTTTTGTCTTCTGGCAGAAGAAATGAACACAGCCTTCTCCCCATGGGTGACCCTGGAGCCCCTCTTCCTGAGAGACCCCTGAGCCACTCTCTCTCAACCCTGGGCTTTGTAGATCATCTGCTATCCTGTCCCTGTACGCCTGAAGGGTCTCCTGCCCAGTCTTCCACGATGCCGACTATGGGTACAGAGCCCTCTGATACTCTCAGGGGTGTCCAGATGTAAAACCACCAACCCCATTCCTGAGGAAATTCAGTAGGAATAGGGCCATGGAATCCCCTCAGTTCACCACCCACCTGGTAGTTCCGGAGCAGAAACTGACAGAGAACAGTGTGGAGAGGACTCTGCTAGGAGTGCACCCCCCTCCTCCCTCTCTCCTGAGACTCATCCAGCCTATTGTTCATTAACCTCTCCAGCTTCAGGGGTAGTGTAGTCCCTGATTTGGCTTCTACTGGTTTTTTCTAGTTTTTACCATGGCTGACCACACACACCCAACCAGCTGGAAAGAAGGTCTCCACCATGCACCTCTCTAGAGCAGCTGGGCCAGGTATCCCCAGGAGGATGGCTCAGGCCACCTGGCCGTGTGACAACCCTAAGGCAGACCTTGGTAGAAAGGCCAGCTGTGTGCTTTAATAGGTTGTCTGAAGGAGTGGCTCACTTAGTGTCAAACCACAAATGTCATCGTGATGTCCCTCCATGGGGGAACCCTACAGGATGGGAAACACTAAGAAGCTATGGGAGCTGTCCTTTGTAAGTCCTACTGTAGAAACCCAGTGAGCACGCTTACTTAAGGTTACCATGCCAGCATTTTCCTCCTCTCGTCTCCCGAACCCCACACACACCAGTCAGTGTAAATGACAGACCTCTCTTTTCCTCCCTCTCTCGGTCCCTCTTGCTCAGGGTCCCAGCCCAGCACAGGGTCAGGTTTACAAGACCTGGAACACAGGAGGTCCAAGTCACAGTGTTTGGGGTTCCATCAGATTGTTGGACCCCCTTACCCAATACTGAGCCTGACTCAGAAAGGGGAGGAATGTAAAAAGAGGAGAGGTGTTTAAAAAAAAAAATCTGATGCTCACCTATCCTGTGTGGAAAAGCCATGAAAACTCTCCAGGCAAAACATGCCCACGCCTGGTCCTCCCAGTCCACATTTACTGCCACCTTTCAGGCTTCCGGCTGCCATTCTGAGACTCAGTCTCCCCTCCATGGCTGCCTAACAGCTGCTTCCCCCTGGTCTCAGGATTGGGCACCCCCAGCCCTTCCTTAGGGAGAGGCAGGCCTACTCCTCTGTCTTTCAATCGGTCAAGTCTTCTTTCTCCATGGTGGGGCTAAGCACCCCAGTGGCTCACAAGGTAGAATTAGTATGTGTGGCCAGGGCAGACCTTGGAGTGTGTCCCACACCATTCTCCCACAGACAGCAGGAAGTGCTGGTCTGCTTCAGTCTAGCCAAGCAAGCTCAGGCGACAGGTCTTAAGGAAAACGCACACAAGCTCATTGTGTTCTGGGCACTCATTTCTGCTTTCTGAAAGATGAGTTCCCTGTCCCCTCTACCTCCTCCAGCCCCAGCTCACGTGGTGGCAGTGGGGCACTCACAGGGAGCCCGAGGGGTTGAGTACAACTTGCAAGTGAAGTTTCTCCTTGAGTTTTGAATACTCACATTTTGTCCTCAATGAGTCATTAACTTAGATCCATTGGTTAAATTTAATGGCGCATTCTAAATGGGGAAGAGGAATAGAGCACACAATGAGCAGTGGTACTGACAGAAAAGAATGTGTATTTATACACATGCATAGCCTGCCTAGAGATAAATAAACACGAGGAAATAAAGATATAAAGAGAAACTGACACTAGCTACAAAAACCTAAATGATCATATTTCACTAAATGTAACCTTATAAGCTATGTGATTACTTTTATGTTTTGTTAAGGAGAAGAAAAAAAGAAGCAAAACTTGCCAGTTAAACCATGATATGTTTCATTGATTGTAGGATACATTCCAATTTAAGAAATGTTAAAATATGAAGAAAATGCCTAGGTTAAAATTGATGAACTGTGGTGCTAAAAGTCACACTGAGTCCTGACTAACCCAGAATGCTGGTTCTCAATGTATCCAGGCTGTTTGTTTGTTGCCAAGGAAGTAGTTCTTAGGAAAAGCTATTGGTTGAAAAATAACTTCTAATTAATACAGAAATGTAGGCAATTTTGGTTGGTGGCTTAAAAGGCAAGTAACTGGGTCAAAAGTCTTCTTCAAGATTTATAAATACATGAATTTTCCAAACCAAGAAATTGTGCTTTACCAGAAAGAATTTTGCACAAGGAGAGTGGAGAGAAGTTTTAATGACAGTTGTTTCTCGCTTTGATTCTGCCCCTGATTAGCTGCGTGACCTTGAGTACATCCTGTAAATGCTGTGGGCCTTAACTGCCTTTTGTGTCACATCAGTGGGTCCAAATGTCAAGTTCAAATAAACTCAATATGCAAAATTCCCTCAAAGAGCATATTCCTGGGACTTCCAATTTCAGCAGGATATTTTAAATTTATAAGATGCAGAAAAGAACAAATGGAGCGTGCCCTGTTGATTCCCTTTGCTGACGAATCCTGACTACTAAGCAGCAGTAGTGATCTCTGCATAGTTAAGGAAGAAGACCTTGGATCCCCAGTGCTGTGCCTGAGTGGACGGCTTACCTCTGCTGCCCTGGGCTCCCCCTCAGCGAAGATATCTGCATCCTCAAGGCATGTCTTATCTGAAAAGCAGTAACAGAGAGCATGACCTCACAGTATCTCCAGGGGTCCCCAGGCTCAGACTCATGCCCTGAGACCTTGGGACCAGTGACCCTGGCAAAACCAACGTCAGAAGGCGTAGCGTACACCTCCAAATAATGAGAGCTGAGCAAAAGTTAGGGTGCAATGATAACAAGAGTTAGGGTGAAGATGAAGACTGTGGTCGTGGTTCTATTCTTTTCCCCAATGAGACCTACAAAGCCCATGGAAGACCTGATGAGCAAAACACAAGAGAACAGAGCTCTCTTCTTTCCTCCTCCCACCAGATGCGCTGAACTAAACCTCACAACCCCAACTGCCCTGGACCATGCTCTCCCATCCAAACTGCCTCATCCAATCCTCCTGCTTCTTCCAGCCACATGGAAATCATCGCAATGAATGAAGCAAATTCAAATTACCTTGTGATCCATGATGGTCCCAAACAGCAAGATGAAGAAACCCTGGAGTAAAATGCAACAGAATCATGAGGGACAGCTTTGCAAGCAGTATCCTGGCTGTTACATGAACACCAGTCTTGCAGATAACTTCTGGAGAAGTGATTGGATATTAGAAACCTATCTGCATGGATGAAGGTAGGGATTTCCTTTGAGTCACCCCCCTTGGGTGAGGGTCACCCTCACAGAAGTGCACGAGAGGAGTGCTGATGTTCAGAATAAAGTTGTCAACCTTGTTAAATCTTTTTACATTCTTCCCAAATATTGAAGTAGCTGTTGTTACTCATGGCTACAGTTATACACAACATGGAAGCTAGTAATTCAAAATCACAGGCATGGAAGTTATCTTAAGAAATAAGCTGGAATTAATTGATATTCAGTATATATGCAACCACGGGCTCTGGGTTGGAGAGAGAAGGTTCTACATAAGAGAAAAAGAAAGCTTTAAAGACCTGGGAAGCCAGGAGGATCTCCTCACCACCCAAGGATAGTTTCATGGTGAAGAAACACTAACAAGATGTGAGTTACAGGGAAAGCTTGCTGAGAAAAGAGGATTGTACACAATTGAAAGTACTGAGTATTTTTCTTTTTTCCAGAAAAAAAAAGAGAAACACATACAATCTGAAAAAAGAAATACAGAACAAATTTTCTTGCAGTTTAACTAAATTGCAAAGTAAGAAAGAAGGTAAATTCATTAGTTTCTACAGTAACTTCAAGAGTGGGAAAAGCTTTTGATTTTCCAAAAAAAAATTGACATCAAATGTTTCTCTTTAAGGCAATGCAATAGGAAGAGCAAAACCAATGTCCTCTATAGTTACGAAAGAATTATGAGTAAATTGTGTGTGACATGAGTTGTTACTTCCTTAAAGTCTGTTTTATCTTCTGTATCTTGCCTTTAGGTAGAGTAATAATGACGTGTTAATAGAGATATTGTGCTGCTTTATCAAGTAGTTGTGTGTATATAATTTAAGGCAGTGGTCAGAATATTTTTTCTGAAAAGAAGCAGACAGTAAATATTTTACTGTCTCTGCGGCTGTACAGTCTGCCACAGTGACTCCAATGTGGCATTGTAGCTCAGCAGCAGACAGAGGGAAATGCAAGGAAATGAGCACGTCTGTGACCCTAAGAGCTTATTTACAAAAACAGGCAGCAGGTCACAGTTTGCCAGCCCCTGATTAAAAGCATAACTAAGACTGTGGACCTGCCAAATGTTCTATTACTCATAGGTATAGAAAGCAATTTGGCTAATGATAGCTTTTCAAAAGTACAAGTTTAGTAGCAAGAAAGAGTAAAACAACTTTTGGATGGACAATCTCACCAAATCAAGTATGTGAGGTGGAGGGGGAAGACAACAGAGATCATTTTAGAGTCATATCTTTATTTTACAAATGAGAAGCTTGGAGCCCAGAGAAAAGTAACCTACCCAAGACCACGACAAGGTCTATTTCTATTGATAACAAATTACATTTATTTCACAGGGAATAACAGGGAAGAGGCATGAGATTTTCTGACTGGTTAATATTCAAAGTGATTGCCAACAGCCCTTTCCTCATACTATAGAAAATGGATATTTCACCGAGGGCCCAAACCACTGGAAAAAGATAAAATTGTGCTTATTTTAAAGCATAACACAAGAGTAGTTTCATGCCCTGCTGGCCAGTAAAGAGCCCTCTAAAAGAGAAGGTTATCTTCTGACACTGAAATTTTGGAGGGATACAGGCAGACTTGGGAAGAGAGAAGGAAGGCGAGTCCCACGCAACAAGCCTGATCAACCAAATCCAATTTGACAATCCATGGGGTGAGAAAGGCCACAGCTTAAGAAACGGGAGGAAATAGCAAGAACATTTTGTGTTCTATACCTTTAAGTGGTAGCGATTTTTGTTGTCTACAGAATCACACAGAATTTGCTTGTGGGGCTTACCTGGAAAGCATTGAGCAGGGCAAAGATGATATGGAAAATCAAGAATGTTCCTTCGATGAGAGTGGCTATTCCAAACCCCCAGGTCAGCCCCAGCAGCGGAGTGAGGATTACAACATTTTTGCTGATCCTCATAATTATGGCCATATCCTGAGAGTTGGAACTGCCAATAGAAGGTCTCTGTGTGTTGAAAGCAACAACAAAGACCACAGCAAGATTTACGGCCACGATGACCAAGGCTGGGATGGCAAAAGCAAACAGGGCTTTGCTTGTGTCCCAGTTCAGCCAGCACACGTCCTGTCTCACGTAGCTTTTCTCTGGCTCTGTGATAGCAACTGTGGTGGCAGCGATGATCAAGGGGCACCCGTAGCCAATGCCAAAGCCAATGGCTATCATGCGGGACTTCATCATCCTCCGGAAAACCACCAGGATTCCATAGAGGATGAGCAGTGCCTTAAAGAACATCCAGAAGAACAGAGAGAGGTAGAAAAAGTGGCTGAAGAATGTCACAGCAACACACCAGTTGTAGCCCTTGGCCTTGACATCAAAGTTGGAGCCAATGATGAACCACGCATTAGCAGCCAAGAGGGACACTGCTATGTTCACGAGGCATACATGCCTCATGTGTGACATCTCTGTCACAGCCACACGGGGCCAAACCATGGCTTCAATGATCAGACAGAGAACCAAGCTGAGGATGGAGATGCTGAGGCCGATGCAAGTAATGTAGTCCAGGACTTTGTCCGCCACCAACATCGGGGACATCAGGATGGAAAAAGACCTCACTGTGCTGGTGCAGTTACAGTGGCATTGCACCATGTTCCTGGCATCCAATGTGGTTTTGCACACTGTCTTATCCCACGCACTTTTCCTGGAGTGCCAGCCAACACACTGCGCCTTGCCATTCTGGGATTTATTGATTTTCTCAAAGGTCAGTAGGATTTCTCTCAGCCTTTCAGGCAACACTACTGACAGAACCAGACCATTGAGGGGCCTAGACAGACTCCCATTTGGTGAGTGGGTCTCTTTCAGAATGGCTCCCAGAGTGGGGAACGCAATCCCAACGACTTGGGATGTACTTGGCAGTTTCCAAAGCTCCTGCCGGGGAATTTCTACCATTCCTGAGATACCTTCTGTGCTGTTATTCACACTCATGGAGAAATTGAGACATTTCCCTGAGGTATTGTGATTGATGTGAAAGCCTTTGGTCTGAATGAAGAGCTCATCCACAATGTCCTCAGATTCATTATTGATTTGGAGTTGCCTGGCAAAGGAATTCACTGAGTGCAATAAATCTGAGCTGGCTTTCTTGTCAGGAACAAAAGTCCAATTCGCAAGGGCTGCTGGATTGAGGATGTGGTTGGCCACTTTACTGTAGCTCTGCAAGGGAGAGAAGTCCAGTATTACACAAAAGCAATTTCTAAAATCAAATTTCTGAAGATCTAATTATCTGATCTTCTTTCAGATTCCCAGTGCTTTCGAATTTCACATTAGTAAGGCATCACATGGGGAAGGAGAGTAAAAGATTGCCTGCTTTCTTACTGGGCCAAAGGCAGCATTTCGAATCTACAGGGTCTGGCACCCACACTTCCCATGAGATATGTAGAGTGGCAGCGGGTTCTGTGACTATGTAAGTCTGAGAAATGCCACACACTGCATCCATACCTCCCTCTCTGCTATATCAAGTACATTCCCTAACACACCACAGGCTCTAAAATGTCATTCTGTAAGGAAAGCTGCAGGACTCTGTTTACCTAGTCCTTCCTACAACCTCAGTGCCTTAGATCTCCCTTTAAAAAATGGAACCTCCATTTTTTCCCCATTCCTAGCTCTCCCTTCATACCCATTAACACCTCTCAGAACAGTTACATTCTACAGAAGACAGTTTGGAAATACTAGTGTAGATTCAGTCTTGCTTATAGTCAGCAGCATGGGTTAAAAATATTCTACCTTATTGAGAACTTCCAACAGTAGAATGAATCAATATGCAAAAATTGAACAGCAAAGCCTGCTGCTGCTATTATGGTTGTTGTTATTTTTACCCTAAAAAATACATTTGAAACTATAAAAGGACAAGTTTAAAAAAAAAATATTGTCAGTGTGTAATGAAGTTAATTAAAAGTACCTTCATTTTCTCCCGAGTTACTTTATCGGACAAGTGTGTAGAAATATTTCTTAATAACTCCACTATAAATGCAATATTTCCAGATGTGGCTTCTGATGACTTCACAGGATTAATTATACAGGCAAAGTCGAGGGGACAGTTCTTAAGGATCCCTTTAGTGATGGTCTCCATGGGCTCTGGAGCTTGGAGGTCAAGAATGTGCAGAGGTATTGATGCCGATGCTAAGAAAAGGCGTGAAGCATCGTTTGAGTCCTGTTTGAAAAAAATTTTCATTCAGAAATGACTGAGTACCTAACATATGTCAGACTTAAGGAACTAAAGGCACCAGCAATCCACGTGCAGACACCTATGGAGACGCACATGGTTCTAATGGGGTGCAGAGCCCAAGGCTGAGAAGCAGAGAGCCAGGTGTGCAGGGATTCCACCCAAATCCCCACTGAGATCAGACCCTGAACTTTCTTATTTCAATCTTCTCTCAGGACAGTGGCTTCTACTCAACATTGTGATAACTGGTCGATTTTCCAGAGATGTGGGGAAAGAGGAGCCACCTGGAATTTCATAGGAGAGCCATTCTTAGGGGTTGGTGGTTCAAATACCAAAGGCTAAGGAATTGCAATGGTGACTTTTAAATTCACTATCTAGAAGTTACTCGTTCATTTCCTGAGACTTTTCCCTGGATTCCTCACAATGTGACCCTGAATAAGGCAAAGCAGGAATTTATCTCCTCTAACTCATGTTTGGACACCACATAATCACAAGGATGGTGCTCACTTCAGCAGCACATATACTAAAATCACAAGGATGTTGACAAAGCTGATGTCAAAATTGCAGGAAACACAGACCTCTGTGTGCTTCAGTATGATTGCAAGGAAAATGGGAAGAAATGGTTGCTATGTGGAACGAGAGATATAAAAGATTTTAATTTTAACTGAGATGTATGGTATTCATTGAATTTCTATTCATTCTAGATCATGCATCTCTTCTTTCTTTTGATCAAGGGATTGAAAGCATTAGAAAAAGATACCAACTTTAATTTAATTCTAGACACATTCAGTTGACCAACTGATTAACACAAGAGGCAAACAAATCCACTTTTAAAGCTAAAACTTAACCTCTAAGCAATTGTTTGCACTATAGTATAAATAAGTTTCAGATCTTTTAGGAGAAAATAATTCTGAGAGGGAGAAATAATGAAAGCTGGGAGAAGGACGAGTCCCTGAGATTTGGGGTTAGGGAAAAAGGACAAGATACAAAGTTAAGCCACTCTGTAAATTTTCCTAAATCCATGCCTGAAACTTATTGTCTTGCTGAACAGATGACATTAAAAATGTGTTCACCACCTCATGGGGGATTAGCTCTTATCCAGTAATATGTAAATGCACCACCTTGAAAAGAGTCTCCACAGAAAGGCTTGTACACGTTTCCGTCGATTTTTGCCACATTTTTTGGTTACATCTATATCCAATTTCTCCCCAGAAGGGCTTAGCACAGGGGTGGCTGCAGTTGGAGGAAGTGGTGCACAGCCCTTGGCATTTCTCTGAAAGGGAACAACAAGCAGTGAGAGGCCCGATTAGCATCTCCACATGCTGATGATGAATCTACTTCCTTCTGGGATTCGGATCCCTTCCCAGCAAAGGTGACATTGAACTGGGGCCACTGCAAGGAGTAAAAAGCTGCCAGCCACCTGTGAGGCTGTCCTCTGGCACATGAGCAGCACGTGGAAGGGCACTGGCTCCTTGGGGAGGGAAGGACACCCCCATCCCTCTCCCAGGATGGAGGGAGAGCAGGGTGGCCCCTAAAGAACCCTGTGCTGCACTAACCAGGGGGCCCTGAAGACAGAACTGGGCTTGCAGTAAAAGGTACTTGACAAGAGCAGTAACCATCTCCACACAGAACTATACAAATGGAGTTGCCAGGTGAAATGCAGGAGACCCACTTAAATGTTAATTTTACTTTCAGATACAGTCAATTCTTATTAGCCCCAGGAATTATGTTCTGTAAGTCACAATGAACACTGAATTAGCAATTTCTGAGCCAGTGCTCCTGGGGAACATGAAGTGAGATTCCTGCCAGTTTCTGTTCACGTTTTCATCATCAACTGATCATTGCAGAACCTAGTTTTATTCATGTTACTATTGGCAGGCAACTTGTTTAATCTATACTGTTGCTTTACATGTAACACGCATGTCGTGGTGCTGTAGCAGAACTGGAACAAGGAGGCAGGCATGGCCTTGTCCAGCCTCAGCTGGGAACACGTGTGTGGACATCTCTGACCACGTCTGGGAATGTTCATATGAACACTAAGAATATTGGTTTAGAGGTTACAAGGAAATGTCAGTGAAGAGCCAAATCTGCAAATACAGAATCTGCATATGACAGTGGATTGCAAATGTTCAGATGAACACGGACTCATTTCCAGCATGCACAGGATCCAAGCAGTAGCACTCTACTCATTGTTTATCTGAAATTAGATTTAACCCATTATCCTATATTTTTACCTGCTAAGTATGACAACTCTAGCTGGAGAGTAAATCCTTTCAGCTTCGTGGGTCACAGAGATCTCTGTCATACCTACTGAATATTATGGAAGCAGCCAAAGGTGCCATGCAGATGGCGGATACAGCTGTGTCCCAATAACACGTCATATTTACAAGCACTGGTGTTGGGTCAGATTTGACCTGTAGGTGAAGCCTGGATTAGCAGGAGCAGTGAAGACTCCAGAAGAATTGTCTTAGGACAGTGGCTGTGCATGGAAAGGAGTTCTGGCTGAGAGAAGGCTAATGAGGTGACCAGAGGCTGAGGGCTCAGCAGAGCTGTTATGGCTGGGACAGCTCTGAGTATGGCTCAGTTTCTTAGGAAAGAAAATGAAAACGAATGTGTTTGCATCTTTCCTGACATCTACCAAGTATCCCGGTTTTTACAACTTAGCTAACCAGTGTAGTTCTTACTTTTTCATGGATTTGATCAGAAATGATGCCACAGTGTCCTTACAAATATTTAATGAGATAGCATCTTGCACAATATTTAGAACGGGGTTGTCATAAAGGCCCAACACATGTTAGTTGTCTTTCTCTCCTGTTTCCAACTTCCTATCTAGATAGAGATATACTTGCTGCCAAAATTATGCCTGGCCACTGCTGTGCAGAATCCAGCTATCCCTACAATTTGCGTGACAGCCACAGATTTTACCCTGCTATTCCTAATGATTACATTGCTGTTTACCTCTCACTTCTGAAGAGTGACGGGTCTCACACCATGGTGTCCATCATGCATTGTTTCATAGACCTCAGCACCAGAGCATTGAGTACATTTAAGCACCCTCAAAATACCTTGGAAGGAAGTTAAATGAATCTTGTCCTCTTTCCTGTTCTGCCTGCTGTTAGCCCATTAGTTTGAACATATTTATTTTCCCTTTGGGTTTGAAAATGGACCTTTGTCTACGATTTTAGAGCACACATGAATATTGGTCATCTTGTTTCATTGACTATGCCATTGATGATGGTTTCTCTTTTTCAGATAAACATCCTTTTGATGATGGTTTCATTGTCAAAAAATCTATCCATACTGGTAAACACGGAGAACTTACAAGTCATTATTCAGCTGGAAAGCCTTTGGTCTAGGGATATCCTTGCAGTACCAGTGTCCTTGCTTTCCCCTGCCCTATCCCCAAAGGGATGAAGACCATTCTATAGCCACATACCTTCCATCTGTCCAGTCTTGAGTTTCTCTGCAGAGCTGTGAGGTTTATCTCCCTCCTGAAAAACAAATTCCCAAAGACTCTCTTTACTGTGGGATTCCTCCCTCATCTCAACTCTGAAGCTCTGTGCAAACATGAAGAGAAAACATGTTCAGGACCAGGAAGGAAGCTGCAGCTGCTCAGCTAGGGGTCCTGCAGGAACTCACTAAATGAAACATTAGTGAGAGCACACACACTGCCCTCCGGTGACAGAGACCCCCCCTGGGCTCTGAAGGTCAAGTTAGTGCAGCAGGTAAGTCTTTAAGCAAGTTTTAGGCATCCAAGCAGAACACCAAGGTGACAATTGTACCTCCAAGCTGCTCTCTGATTACATAAACTGTAAAGGTAGAAGGAAGACAGCTAACCTTGTCCTCTGGGTACTGTATGTCCTCAGAGGGAAGAAATGGATAGAAACCAGAAAGAGTCACTGGTTGCAATAATAGAATCACAAATCTTTTATACCTGTAAAGGGTTATAAATATTATCTTCAAAATAAACAGTAATTATACAAAGACATTAAGAGTCATGAACTGAAACAACTCGTGTAACTAGTGACAAGCACAATTAAGATGTAAATCTGAATTGCTCTATGCCCAGGCTAGGCTCCTCTCACCAGCTGCCATCTACGTTTCCTGTGCAATAAAAATAATTATTATACTAGTGGTCCCTGGCCAAATCCCTGCCACTTCTCAACTTTCTGTTGTTGTTTCTTTCTTTAGAAAGATACTGCCAGCAAGAGTATAATTGCAGTCATTTGAAATTTTACTTTAAAAGATGCGTTATTTATCAGCAATCTAGCCATCAAGGTGAAAGCAGACACTTCTTACCTAGGGACAGATTAAACTTACTTTGATGTGAATCTTGGGTCGATAGTGGGAACATTCTGTGACCAGAAAAAACACATAACAGCAAATTATGGTGGCCTGGGACTTCATTTTCACACCTGGGGATTTTAGCCTGCAATAGAGAAGAAAATGGAAGCAGCTGAAGTTGGTAACGTCACACAACCCAGGCACTTCGCAGCAGCTCACCAGCCACTCAGCAAGGGCACTCGATCTGTCCACACCGAAACAACCTACCCCAGGGAAAGACGCCAGTACCTGTTTCCAACCCAGTTCAGATGTGAAAAAGAAAATCCCTCAGCTGTTGACCAGGCCACAGTAGAAGACAGGAATGGTGGGGAAACCAGGAAAAACATATGTCCAACGAAGCATCGTTCCTTATTTGCCAAACCTTCAGTTTCTTTAATAGTGACATCTATCAGAGCTTTCTATTTGTCAATCACTATTCTAAGCATTCATGTAATCTATGAAGGGAGATACTATTACTTTCTTCATTTTATCCACAGGGTAACTAAGGCACGGGGTTGAGCAACTATCAAACTGGTGCATATTTACATCTGACCCTGACCTGTATAATTATACACTACTCATTTACCAAGCACTTGTAGCCAGTAGCAAAAGTTGAAGACAATATGACAGAAGCAAAACTTAACAGTGAGAGTACTGTATTCACTGACTTAAATCTTCTTTGACTTTGGAAACTCTCCTTTATTTACAGTAAATAAACAGTGTAAGTTCGGTTTCTACTGTATGTGAGCAGAGCCTCTTGCCCTAACCTGGGAATATGTGGAGCACTGGTCCCACGGAAGACAGAGGTATTTCATGACCAACCACCATCCCAGCCTCCTCCTGTCACAACACATACAGGCGCATGCACACCTCAAAGTTCTGATCATTCCTGTAGTTGAGAGAAAGTTTTGCCCAGGTTTTACCAAAGGTACTCAATCATCAAAAATGCTTTGGGGAATTTAAAGCTGCTGCTCCATAAAAATGGGATATTTTGGAGGGAAAAGCATCAGTCTACCCAGACTCAGACTCCCTGCCCCGTGCTGGTCCCTGTGCAAGGGTCCACGGGGGCTCCTGAGTCATTCACACCAAAGCATGGGGAGAACACAGGGAGAGGAGGACAGATTCAGAAACAGAAAACAAATCAGAAGGGAAAACCAAATGCAGAACTCTGCCCAAGGTCATTGGTGGCAAGGAGGTATACAGAGAGTTAGTTGCCATTTGTAAACAACTCCTTCCAGTTTCCATGTCAGTCCCACTTCAGCGATAGCAAGCAGCTAAGCTAGCAGCATGGCAGCTTCTCAAGACCAACAAAAGCAATCAAAACCTGCCCCAATCCCTCGCCTGCAGCCATTTTTCTCTGAACACCCTTCCCCACTACCAACCACTTGTGCTTTTCACATGAAATAAACAACAATTCCAGGCTGCTGAGTGAAGCCGGCCACCCTCCTCTAACTTGCTGATCACAAGAAAGACAAAGTAACTGTGCTGGCTTCTGAGGCTTGAAGGGAAATGTAGCCACATCCAGTCATCAGTGGGTGTGTCCCAGGAACCAGGACGCAGCAGTTGGCCCCTCCTGCCCCAGGCGTGAGCCCTAACAGCAGAGGGTCCACAGTGCCACCACCAATGCCCTTAACCCAGAGGCACACTGGGGAGCAGACAAAACATCAGCTGGCCTCAGCCAGGAGGAAAGTACCTGCTTCTCTGTCCTCCACACCCCACAGGAACACACATAGGAGCTCTATGAACATTCACTGGATGTGAGCATGAAAAATGAGTGGAAAAAAAGTGCATGACGTGTGAAGAGCCCTGTGTGGTGTGTGCAATGTTTCTCTCAAAATCATCTTTTTAAAAACTCTTTTCTATCTTATTCTGCCAGGTGAGCATGCAGATACCCATTGGTATCCATGAGGTGATGGTTCCAAGATGCTTTACAGACACCAAAATCTGCCTGTATTCAAGTTCCTGATCTAAAACAGGCCTGGTATTTGCATACGATCCTTGCACATCTTCCCCAGACTCTAAGTCACCCTAGACTGCTTATAACAACTAATGCAGGCAAATGCATGGTAAATAATTGTGCTCTATTGTTTAGCCAACAGTGACAAAAAGTCCATGTGTCCAGTACAGACAGTTTTTTACCTGAATGTTTCGCTCCATGGTTGGTTGAATCCACGGATGGGGAACCCACAGGTGCAGAAGGCCAAGAGATTAGCAACTCTAGATAAATTTTGGAATCTGGTGATTTAAGCAGAAAAGCTCCCTAATACTAAGCCCACTATGAAGCTCCTCTTTGTTACACTACCTGGGCCTTGTGTGAATATGGAGTGTGAGATCCTACCTTGGTTAAATAACAAATAAAGCCATGCTAAAGGAAGAAGGAAGGAAGGAATAAAAAGGAAGGAAGGAAGAAAGGAAGGAAGGGGGGAGGTGAAGGAGAAGGGAAGAGATTGGAAGCGATGAAAAGAAGGAAGAAAAGAAGGAAAGGAGGGAGGGCAGAGAGACTGCCATGCTGATGGGCCCTGCCTGCCATAGGCATGGGCAGGTTGTGACTGTGCATGTGTCTGTCTACACTACTCAAGTCAGAAGTCACAAGACACTGTCCCCCCACACACCTGGAAGACCCGCTGCTCCTGGACACCATCCGCCACGTGGCCTCTGCTGTCTTGTACTACAGCTGCAATTCTGACTGAGTTGGACTCAGAGCTCCAGTCAGCCCACCTGGCCCTGGAGCTTTCTCCCATGTGAACCAGGTGGGGTTGTGGCAATGACTCAACAGACAGAGGAACTCCCAACCTGCCTAAGCACGCAGCCCAGGGCTGCCCCTAGGGCTTCCACAGAAAACAGGAACAGTTCAGTCCAGCAGCCAGTTGCGCACGTCCTGATGAGAGTGGACTGGATGGTACAACCCAAGTGAGCACTTCCCCAGCTGACGGGAAGGCCATCCCACAGCGTGTCACCGGCCTGGTCACTCACCTAGCTCCCCTCAGCCAGTTCCATCATCGGCTGGAAACCACCAGTCTAGAATGGTCAGCTGTGAGCAAGGAGCGTGTTCTGTCTACGCATGCTCTGTCCCCTTATACCCAACTCCATAATCAAAGCCTGGCTCTTCCTGTATCCTCAGCCTGACAAGGGGACATGGCTTGCCTGGTGGCTGTCACACCACCTCTTGCCTTGACCTCCCTTCGCTTCCCCCACACCCTACGGATGAGGATAACTGGCCTCACTGACCACCATCACCCTCCCTGGCTATCTAGCAGCCACTTCACTTCAACATGGGTGCAGCTCCATCAGCACCATGCTGCTGCCTTGCTCTGCCACTTCACATGCTGTCGCCACCTCTTTGAAGAAGAGTAGGGGAGCCTGGGATGGCTAAACCAGGGAGGGAGGGATCTGGGCCCACTGTGGACATCTCCCATCTCCAACCTCCCTGAACCCAGGTTAGTCGTGATGAACACAGGTAGCCTTCCAGAAGAGTCCCCAGTTTCAGCCCTGCCATTTTTCCCAGAGAGGGGACAGCTGTCAATCAAACAGCTCAACTCCCCCCCACACACACCAGTGAATCCCCACCATGACAGCTGAAGCTATCCCTGATGTTCCTAACCTTTGCTTGGACCAATCACAGGACTTCAATTGGACCAATCAACAGGACTAAATTTGAACCAATCACAGGCCTGCAGCTGCTATATAAGCAGTACTCCTCTCACACTTCTTGAGTTAGTCTAGGAGGGCTCCATTCAGTGTGCCAACCACCTGTGCTGCAGCACAGACCCTGTTAAAATAAAGACGTGTTTAGTGGTCCTGTAAATCTGCTCATGATTTATTTCCCATGTAGTGTGGCCCTAAAAGGTCCTGTAAATCTACTCAGGATTTTGATCTTGAGAAGTATGGGCTACTCTTGAGAGTAGTCATCTCAAAAGATAGAGCAATAAACACTAGGGGCTGTTAGCCCTGAAGAGCTCCAAAGACCAGCAAACAGTGAAGATCAAAGCAGAGACAGCACCCAAGAGTGTCAACCTACAACATCTACCATAAGCCAGCAACAGATGGCAGTGGCCAGCAGTGACCAGGAGCCTGCTGTGGCAGTTGTTGGTATCCAACATTACACAGCATTGTCTGAATGTCAGGGCCACTCACAGAGCTGCACTTTGCCAATTCATGATCTCCATCTGAATGGAGCAAAAGAACCCTCAACTGGTTGGCAATACATCTGCTCTGGGAGTGTAACTAACTCTGGTCCCAACATCACGTAGCTAGAGGAGCTGCTGATGTACTTAAGCCCCAACATCTCCCGACCTCCACAGTACGGTCTATTCAGGCACTCTTGGTGTGGATAGCATCACACAGAGCCTTAGAGGAAAACAAGACATAAGGTCCATTGGAATCAGAAACATCTCTGCCTTGGTTATTTTTTCTGACTTCCAGCCAATAATTTCATATCTCAGTATCTCTCCTGAATTTGAGTCAGAAGCCAATTATTTTTTCAGTACCGGGGATCAAACTCAGGACCTTGAACTTGCGAGGCAGGCTCTGTGCCACTGAGCTAAATCCCCGGCCCAGAAGCCAAATTTTGATAGGTCTGAAGAATGACAGAATCTCAGTGTTAGCAGACATCTCACCAATTACCTTGACACTTAGGTAGGATTCAAGAAACTGATAGACCTGGCAGTCACTCTGCTCCATGAAGAAACTCACTGAGCCCTGACACTGGAGAAAATGGCTGTGATGGAACATGCAGTGGTCCAAAAATCATCTTCAAGCTCTGAGGCTCCCAGGCCTTCACACAGCACTCTGTCAGCCACTCCAAAGCAGGAGATATAACTTTGCAAAAGGTTTTAACAGTGCCTGGATGAATTTTGTTTTCAGTTGCTATAAAGAGAGTTTCTCTAGCTCACTAAAAGAAGAAACTACTAAAAAGTATCCTAGCGTTGCATTCAGCCTGAAGGAAAGGCACCGGAATTCGTCAGGAGGGGACAATAAGGGACAGTGAGTCTCACTGCCTGACCAGATGTTTTCTACAGGGCCAAATCCTGCAGAATCAAGCTTTCCAGAAGATTCCATGGTAAGTTACCTACAGTCCCCACCCTGAAATAGAGCAAAAGCACTCTTTCCTCATCAGAAGGAGTGCTGGTGAGCCATGTACTCACGGCATCTGGAAGCAGGTCTAGCAGCCCAGAGGTGGAAAATCACCCTGCAGGAAGGTGGGTGCTGAGCCCCCCACATCCTGGCCCACCATCACGTGTGTCCACACTGGTGCCCCTCAGTCCCCTCAGGGGCCAGAACCCCGCTTCTCCATCCTCGGAAGGGACTTTCGAACCTGCCAGCTGCTGTGAGCAGCCTGACAACCACCCCAGCGTGGAGACTGGAAGCTGTGATTCACCACTGTGCGTCTGTCAAGCTCACCCAGGAGAAATTACAGGTTTCTCTTGTCTGGAGCAAGCCCGTCAATGTGAGTCACTTGTTTGTCCTTCAGGTCTACATCTTTATCTCAGCTGATCACCTGAGGCTGTTGCACCCAGGGTTGGTGCAACTCCAGCGAGGGAGACAGACGCAAGGCTGCACTGCTCCATTTGCATCCAAGTGAAAGGTTGTCCTGCATGTTCCCTGTGCCCACGTTGAACTTGGAGACAACTCCCTGAGAAACTGACCAGGAAGCTGTGATCTAATGTCTACCTGGGCTACAGAGGGATTTCTGCTTCACTTTTTTAATGACTAGGCCAGGCATTCTCCCTGAGCCTCTACATAGCTCTGGGAAACTCAGACTCAGGAGAGAACACAGTCCCCATATGTGGGAAGCTTCGCAGAAAATGACATCAGACAGGGCAGCAGTTTGAATTGTCCTGCTCACCCCCAAATACCCCACCCATCCTAGCGCTGGTGTCTCCTGCTTACAGGTTTCCCTCTGAAGACCTGCATGCCCTACGTAGATGTTACCAGGAAAATGCTGACAAGCAAGAGAAGTAGGGAGAGGTGGCTGTGTTGCACAATCTCCAGCAATGAAGGTCAAGAAGGCAGTGTCTGAGGAAAGGGCTTGGCTCCATTTAGGTCACTCTCAGGGTAAGGCTAGGTCACTGGGATTTGGAAAAGCCAGACCAAGTGGTTGTGCAACCAGAGGACTTTATTGAACACATCCAATGAACGGATTCTGCATACGAGGCACCTTGTGGTGTAAACACACAAAGAAAGGTAACGAACAGAAGGCACAGCCCTGGTCCTTAAGGTATGCTATGTTATCCAGGAGAGAAAATATAGGAAGGCAAAAAGACCAAAGGAAACAGACAATATGGCAAATAAATACCGATGTAACGTGAGGGCCACAGATTACAAACAGCATGACAACTGGGTGTGGAGAATGGGTGCTTCTGGCTGCGCCTACCAGGGAGGGCTTCCTGGAGCAAGCAAGAGGGGAGGCCTGGCTGGGCAATGCATAATGAGCAGTGCCCGGGGTGTGTGCCCTGCCTTCCTGTGAAGGGGGCCCTTGTGCAACCAGGGCAATCTTGGACAAAATGCTCATTCCATGGGACACTGCAGATTTCGCTGGTTGGTAAACCCTAACGTTGAACACACCAAACCAGATGCCTAGCTCTTTTGATGAGAAGTCAGTTAACCCATTCCTGTGAGGATATCTATATCCAAACCCATGAAAAGGACCGTGTGTGTGTATTTGCATGTGTCTGTGTCTGTGTGTGTGTCAGGGGGTGTTCATAGGTACACTAGTAAAAATATAACTAACATTTTAATGAGGAATTATTACTGGCCAAGTACTGTCCTAAACACTTTACCCACATTGATTCATTTAATCTTTCCAACAATCCTGTGAGGTAGACTCTGTTATGATCAGCCTATAAAAGAGAAACCCCAAGACTAGAAAATTTAAACGACTCTCCCAACAACAGCCAACAGCAACTGCCTGTAAGTCTGCCTTCGACACTGTTGGGAGCAGTTCCCCTGGGCCCCAACCCCGCCACTTCCCTGGGAGCCATCAGAGGCCCCTCTGGCTACTGAGGGTCAGCAGAGTCAGCCTGACCCAGCAGTTGCTTTAGGGTGGTGCAGAGTGGGTTGGGGCTGTGGGCGTGAAGGTACGGCTTCTTCAAGGTGTTTCCTGTCGGCAGCCTGGGCCTCCCTTGTTAGCAGGGAGCCTCGCTGGGGCATCCCCCATCCTACTTGGGGGAATGAGTAGACCAGAGCTCTGAGATTTCCACCCAGCACGGACACCGAGCAGGTCCTCCCTGTCCGTCTCAATGCTCACCCTACAGTGGGACAACTGGTCCCCTCTGGAAGGCTTATCCAGACGCGTGATCCCCTCACCGCTCACTTGCCCAGACCCCGCACTCACTGCCGGGTCTGGCTTTGTGCGAGTGCCCCTTCTCTGTGCCCACATGGGAGACCTGTGAGTGAGCTGGTGGATGGCAGGTTGAGCCCACTCTTGGGCTCCATTTGGGAACGACACTGTTGTCCCAATGTGGGTGACACCTTTGGAATGATAACTCATGTCCCCGGCAGGGCATCTCCCCACCTTCTGATTGCTTTCTTTATTGTACCTTTGCCTTCTCAAACTTCCCTACTTAGAAAAAGATCCTGTGTAGAAAAAGATTCTGTGTAGAAAAAGACACAGAGAGAGAGGAAGAGGCCCTGCCCATCCACAGAGGGACCTCAGTTTCCCTTGGGGCATATGGCATCTCAGTGGGGCCATTAGGGTTCTCCCCTGCCCTGTGACTTTATCTCCCAGCTCCCTGCAGCGGCAGCCACTGTGTATGACTCTGTAAGTGGCTTTGGCCCTCAGCATGGTTCTCCATCTGGTGACACCTGCTTTGAATGCCGGATTGTTCACAGGCACAGCTATGAAAATGAGTAGCTTTGCACCTGAAACACAATATTTCCCCTTCCCCATCCTGGGCATCAAACACATATTGTTGGTTTCAGAAGTGTGGGCAGAATGCTTCCAGGGGCACATGGCCTGGGAGAGCCAAGAGGAGCAGAATGTTTCCTCCTCCGCTCAGCTATTGATTAGCTGTGACTCACATCTCGGGGTTTTCATCTCCTTAAGACAAAATAGGCAGTTTTTCAGGTTCCAAGTCTGTATGGTTTGCACACGGCTTGTGGTCAAGGACATGGTGTCTGAGCCCAAACCATCAGCAGAACTTTGACAGAGTGGAAGACATGGGCAGTTGGCTTCTATCATAAAAAGAGCCAGCAGTGACCTACTTAGTCCACCTGACTCTCAATTCTTCATGCCTATTCATGAGCCTCTCCCTCCAAAAGCCACAGAATCCAGCTGGGTGACATCTCAGGCCACCTCGGCCAAAGATAAGCCTGAGCTTCTTCCTGAGGATGAAGGAGACCCTCGGTGTGGAGGCGGAGGCACTGAGGTGACCCTGATCCTGCTCTTGGGAAAGGTCCACTCTGTCTCTGATCAGACACCCAGGGTAATGTAGTTATTTACAGGTGATGGGCAGGGAACGTTCGGTGGCCTCTATCCTCGCGAACCTCTCCCTTTCCACTACTCCACAGTGGAGCAGGAAGGCAGGAGTTGGCGTGCTCCTCCTGCAGGTGCTGCCATTCTCGGGTGAGCGACCTCATTGGGACAGGAAATACAGCATTAGTGGACAGCAGTTGCACCTGGAGGTTAGAAGCATGAGACAGTCTGTCATGAGCAATGAACCCATATCCTCCCTTGGAGCCAGGGACCAGGCGTGTTCTGTTGCCTGCACACACTGAGCTACAGACCCATCTTTCTCTTCCTTTTCTGTGCAGCTCCTCTCGAGAAAGGTCTGGATCTCTACAAAAGACCCTGACCCGCTGCAGAAGCCTCCAAAGGTTGCAGAGTCCGACTTCAAGGTGAGCAGTAGGCTCCCTGCAAACCCAAGCGCCTGTCTCTGCCTCTGTGTGTGAATCAGACCTACGTGCTCTTCATGCCCTCTGCTGAGTCCCACAGTCCTCTGAGGTCCCTCCATCCTCAGCCTGCCTGCACCTCCCTATCCCTGTGAGTTTCCTAGGAGGTCAGTGTCCCCATGTGTGCCTCCCTTCCAAGCCGGGTCCCCATGGCCCTTGGTCTGTGTGTACTCTTTTCCCCCCTGAGCACCCTTCTCTAACTCTGTCTCTCTGTGTGCCTCTGTCTCAAAAGACTGGACCTCCATTTTCTCACAAACATTGTTTGCCATGTCTTGATCTTCTAAGGGCAGAGGAGAGATGGGCTGCCATGGGAAACTGGAGGAGTGGCCATCAAAGGCTTGAGGTCAGAACCTTGGGAAGGAAGCTGGCGCGGAGACAGAGAGGGAACTGCTGGGAAGAGCAGATGCCTCTGTGTGGCCTCTTATGCCCAGGCAAACTCAGGCACCTTCTCAGACATGCCTGTTTCCTCTGCCAGATCATCCAAAGGACACTGTGGCTCAGGAAAGAAAAGATGGAATAGGAGAATCCTTTCCATCAGAAAAAAATAATTTATTTTCTGCAGTGCTGGGGATGGAGCTCTGGCCCTGCCACTCGCTAAGCAAGAGCTCAGTCACAGCTCTACCTTTGGCCCCCAGGAAAAATCAGTTCTAACTATAGTTACTCAGGTAATGACTTGGGAAAGAAATGGCATCTGTGTAGCACACACACAAAGACCTCCTCTCATGTCCACTCACCTCCAAGTCGGGCTGCAGAGAGGGCTCTTAGCTCGGCCTTTTGGTGGGGTGGCGGGAGAAATCAGAAGAAAGGTTCTGTAGGAGGCAAAGGGAAACTACGTTACTGCTGTGAGTCTGCTGCCAAAGGCCACAAGGACTACACGGTCCCCTGGAGAACCACGATCTGCAGAGATGGATTTTACCCTTCACCGTGATCACAGCTTTAGAAGCACTGAGAACACAGGAGGGACTGGGGGAGCCCTGGTCTCGTGGGGAGAGGGTGGCAGAGGAGGCAGCTGGAAGCAGGAGACAGGTGGCCCACAAAACCAGCATTGGATGAGGGCCATGAGAGCACAGCTGCCCATCACAGCAGGTTCCAGGTGACCCAGGACAAGCGCTCTGTGTCCTGGGTGGAGCCAGACTGACCCCGCCAGCTGGTATTGCAGGGGACAAGTGCATTTGGGCCAGGGAAGGTTGTTACCAAGGATCAGAAGGGATACCCTGCTCCTTGCCCCATGTGGAGTGACAAAGCGGATGACAGGCTGAGGACAGGCCGAGTGGAAGGAGATGGCAGGGAGGATAAATGTGCACAGCCCACATCAGTCACCATGGAGCTGGCTCTGCCGGAAGCTCAGCGTCTGCTCTGGGGGCTTTGATTGAGTCTTTCTCAAGGGGTCAGGCTGTGGTGTTGCTAAGATACAGCCAGCATTGGAAGCCATTGGCCCCAACAACGGGGAACCAATAATAAAGCACTGGGCGTCATTCTGTGCTATTCGTGTACAAACACAAAGACGAACTGGCAAATGACTGCTTTTCGCTGAAAGGAAGAATTTCTTCGTGGTGGCGAGAGTGGACCAACACCAAGGAATCAGAAGGGAAGGAGCTGTGGTGCTGAGGGGTGGGACGGCTTTGCATTGTTGCTACCTCGTCCAAATTTGAAATGCAAAATGAAAATGAGAGCTTCACCTCTGATACCCTGGAGATCCGTTTCGCAGAGGTTACTCGACCCTTTAAGGCTTCTCGGATCTGGATAGTTAACAAAAGAGGTTAAGAATTAAAAGATGATAAGAAGTTATCACAGGTGCCTGCGCCAGGCAGCATCCTGCTGATGGGTGGTGGGGTTGGCAGCCTGATGGAGGGCGACCAGAACAGACAAGAAAGGGGTGCTGGCAGCGGAGTGTCCAGGGCCTTAGACGGGGCACAGTGGCTAAAAAACCTACAGTTTGCCACACGCTGAGGATTCCAAACATAGCTTTGGCATTATTTTTATTTTATGTAAATAGTTTATCACTTCTCACAAATTTTTAATTTTTCAAACCTTTCCTAGATAGGAAAAAAGTTCCACCCTACATAGCAGCAGTCTATGGAACCAAGGAAATAAGAACAAGAAATAACTACTGTGCTTAACTTTATAACTTTTGCTTTATAACTTTATAGGCCTCCAGCTGAGGGTGACTTTACCCTTCCTTGAATGTAGTCGTCCTTGTTACCCACAGGCTCCAAAGAGTTAGAAGCTTTCTTGGGCCCAGGAACACACAAGGGTTCATTGGGATTTGTGAAGATACACTGGACATTCTACTTACAGTCTCTGTTCTCATCCTCTTTAATACCATGTTTCATAATGTGCATTATTACACACTTTATACATTAATAATAAGCACATTTGGGCTACATGCTCAGTGTTTCTGATCTTAAAAATTTGAAGACTGCTCCTATACACAGTTTCTTGTCAATGAATCATGACCTAGGACACTTTGGAGCATTTACCTTTCACTTGTAAATTTTACATGTGAGAGGGTTTTGCCTTGCAGGAGGCTTCCTGCTTGGAGGTCACACAGGCACAGCACCCAGGGGCAGCTAAGGAATAAGGTCACTGCTGCCGCTGCTGCTCTGGCTCAGACACTAGCTAAGGTGTGACATTTGACAGACACACATCCTGTGCCTGTGACTGTGTGATCCCTTACATGTGTCTGTGTCCACCTAGAAATGTGAGCTTGTGCTTTTCTGTAATCTGGTGGAAAAAGCAGAGAAAGCAGCCTTCTCCTTGCATTCCACGTGAGGAATCTGGAATTTACAATTATCAGAGAACTCCCCAGGGCCACCCAGCCAGTATAGGGGCTCTTTGACTTATGGCGGGGCTGAGTCCCAGTAAACCCACTGCAGGCTGATCACGTCGTAAGTCAAGAGTGCATCTGATACACCCAGCCTCCTCAACTCCACGGTGTAGTGGAGAATCGGCTGTTTACTCTCCTCATCACGTGTCTGATGGGAGGCAGAGAGTATCACACTGTGTGTTGCTGGCCCAGGAAAGGATCAAAATTCAGAATCTGAAATCAAGTTTCCCCAAATGTGTATCACCTTCGTGTCAAAATTCGTAAGTCAAACCTTTGTGAGTTAGTGAACATCTACATGTGGAAATATCAAGGTCAGTGCTCTTTCACTTCTGATTAATTTTTACTAGTGAAATGGCATCCCTATAAGACAATGGAAGGACCATTGTGAAATTCCTCCTTCACCAGCCCTTGATACTAACTTAATAACATAATAGCTTCAATGTTAATGCTTAACAAAGCACATACTTTGCAGTGAAGTTGGGTTTTTGTTTTGGTATTGTCTGCATATCCGACCTGGTTACTACGAACTTGCTCTAGTTGGGCAGGTGTTTGCATTAACATCTGAGAGAGGTGTCTGTTTGCTGACTCCAGGGTACAGGTTCTTAAGTGGAAGGGGTGATCTCAGAAGCCTCGGTGAATGTGTGCTATGTGTTCATGTGTCAGTGTTTGTCTTCACTTACAGCCTGTCCACACTCGTGGTGTCAGGATAAACCCTCCCTAGGACCCCTGACCTGTGAGGCAGGACTCACCCCTCCACCCCCTTGTGGCTCAGATGCAGCCTTGTGGCCTGGCTCAGCCACTCGGACCCCACAGTGCAAGATAGCAAGTGGCCCCAAAGTGGCCCTGGGCGTGACACCAGGCACCAAGAAGGGCTGGCAGTGGTTTCCCTCATGGCCGATCTGTGTCCTGCACTGGAAACCATTCATGGGGTGCAGCCTGCAGCAAAGGGAGAGGCCCTCCCAAAGATGGTCTCGTGGGATGCAATGAACCTGTTTTCTGCCTCAACAAATCAGAGTGGTTTCTACAGAGATCCTGAGTGAGCTACTTAATCAGTCACAATATCTCGGTTTCCTCATCTGTAAATCCAAACTAGCAATGCCCCAGATTGCTTAGAGGATCAGAGCTAATGCATTTGGACACCTAACCCCAAAGTGCCTGAAGGATGGCAGACAATACCCACACCCCAAAGAGCAGGGAAGCTCTGTGCGTCTGCACAAATGGTCAAGATGACAGACTGTCCACAGTAGTCATCACTGGTGACCAGGTCAGGGACAAGCCCTGATAATGCAGGAAAATGAGAAGAATTTACACTCAGTACCTTTGGGTCCAGAATTGTTCCAAACACCAGGATGAAGAAGCCCTGTGAAGATGGAGAAGGGAAGAAGAGCTATTTTTTAAAAATGATGATAACAAATACTAGTATTCATCACTCAGTTACTGTTTTAGTCACAAGAAAACAATTTAACCCAATCTTTTAATTTCCTACCCCAAGGTCACAATAGCTGAATTCATTCATTCAACAAACATTGTGGTCCACAGGCCAGCATGCTCCGGATGCAGGGAAAGCCTCAGCAAACCAACACAGCAAGGTCTCTGCTTCTTACAGGAGCACTTTAGAAACTTCTTCTGAAGTGAGCAGACACAGGTGTTTTGCACTTAGTGCGAGCTGTTCTTCTCATTAGAACATAACAATCTAAGCCAGATGCGCACTTGTAATTCCTGCTGTGCAGGAGGCTGAGGTAGGAGTATCAAGAGTTTGAGGCCAGCCTGGCAAATTTAGTGAGACCCTAACTCACAATAAAATAAAATTAAATTAAATTAAAAAGGGCTGGGGGTGTAGTTCAGTGGTAGTGCCCACACCCTGGGTTCAATTCCCAGTACAAAAGAAAAAGGAAAAAAAGGGGAAGAGGAAGAGGAAGAAAGGAAGGAAGGAAGGAAGGGAAAGAGGGAGGGAGGGAAGAAGGAAGGGAGAAAAGGAAGGAAATAGAATGACCCAAGAAAGAGTCAGAGGAGACATTAGGCAATGGGTGACTGGTTTGCAGTCCCTGAACAAGAAATGATGAGAAATATCCACAACAAAGAGCGAAAACAGGTACTGCCCATACACCCTCACTCTCTCCTCATCCACAGCAAAGACCATTATAAAACTTGCAAAGGAAAATCAAAGACATGCATTCTCAGAAAATTAATAAGCCATAAAATAGATTGGATTTCTAACCCTATATCAGCTGGTCCACACAGGAAGAGGCAGAGAAGACAAAACAGCTCCCCCAGCTCTCCCGATCTGTACAGAGAAAGGCTCTGTCAACTCAAAAACAGACCATCCCTTCGAAACTACAGTACAGCTGAGTTTTTACTGTTTTTTCATATAGTGGCTCAAAACCCTCTGGAGGGAGGAAGGGCAAGGAGTATTCCTATTTTGCAGATGAAGGGGGAAAAGCACAGAAATTCAACTTTCAAAATGTAGCAGAGACCAGCATTCATTAAACAAAAGTTTTCATATCTTGGGTTATGGATCCAAAAGGGAAGTGACATGATGATCTTTCATTTAGGCACCACCATGTCGTGATGCTCCAGTTTCACAAGGGACTGTAAGCTCAGCCAGAGGCTACCGAGGCCCTGGGGTCTAACACAACTGACCCCACAGAGCTGACACACAGTCGTCCGTCAGCAAGGATGCTCTCAACGCTGCTGCCACCACACTGTGACCCCAGCCGGGCTGAGAGATGAGGGCTTCACAGGGCCCATGGACAGCTAGGCCCCAAATGTGCTAGCCTCCAGCCTGCCAGCCCCACCAGCTCAGCAGCTCGCTCTTCTGTGTGATGCTTTTCACCTACAATGTCATCGTTGAAATCTGTCATCAGTTCTACTAAGAAAACTCAGTAGTTGGTGCGAACCATTAGGTTTCAAAGTGTCACCCTTATAAAGATGCTTGGGACAAATACATCCAGCCTAGCCTGGGTCCTACAAATACAGTTTAACTGAATTTGACCAACAATAAGTTGGTTTTTTTCAAAATGTAGAAACCATAACCTAGTATCTTTTCTCCACCAAAAAAATCTGTACTATGTGACTAAAGGCCTAGGAAGAGTTTCTCTGCTCCTAAGATTTTTTACATTCCTTGAGGTTGGATTATTTATATTTGTATTTATTGATAATGATTGGCAGAAAATAAGTCCTGAATACGTTGTGTCTATATTTTAGTGTGTGCTTCATAACCTCATTGTGTACCTTGAATCTACACAGCCATAAAGAACTAACAGGAAATATTCACTTAAAACCACTTGTTGGTTTAGGCCACCTTGGGAAAAGTTACACAAAATAGTATTCAGAGAACTCAAATAAGAGATTAGTCATGAAGCTTAGTATCTGCTGGCAAAGAGGCAAGAGAATGCATCTAACACAGCCCACCTGCAACTCTGTTGGATGTGAAGCCCAATTTGGGCAGGTAAGCTTCAAAATGTTCTGCCAGGCTTTGTATCTGTGTTTTGTTTTTCTCCTTCAAATAAGTAAGACATTGATGTGAAAATAGTCTCACTGGCTACTGTATACATCCAGGGAAACAAAGAAATATTTTAGAGGTCTTTAGAAAAATAAAAGCTTTCTAGGGCCGGGGAATTAGCTCAGTGGTTCTGGCGCCTGCCTCGCAAGCATAAGGTCCCAGGTTCGATCCCCGGTACCTCCCCCACAAAAAAAAGCTTTCTTTTTCATTAGTTGGTATCTACATATGTAATATTCACTATAAAAAAATCTTTGGCTCTTCAGAACACTGTAATAGAAGAAATATGGAAAAACACAATTCCAATCAAGAAAGAACTTACTAAATACAGAATGCCACTCAGGCATTAAACAGGCATGTGTATACATACTAACTAAGTAAAATTCTAGGGCGTATTTTCAAGTGAGAAAGAAAGTTGCATAACAATAGACATTGATTTTTAACCCTTATATTACGTAAAAATACATGTGCATTAGCATAGAAAATTTGGCAGGGTTCCACATGAAACTATTGGGCAAGGATTTACATTGCTTAATTTACATGGGTGAGGTAAGAGAGTAGAGAAATTCTCTTCAATACCAGTGTATCAATAGCTTGCCTTGTTAGAAAAAACAAAATGGTTTTCAATGGTAATTAAAAACTCTAAGTGGCAGTAAATGTGATAAATGTAAAAATTTAATTTCTCCGGTTGTAATCCTAAATATTGGGGAAGTATAACTGCTTAATTTCTAAACAGTAACAACTCTGCCTGTTAAAAGGCTGTTTGTGATCCTTAGATCATTTTAGGGTTTCGTGTTTTACCATCCACCTTTGCATTTCATTTTCCAAACCCCTCTATAAATGGGCAATATTATACCCATTTTATATATGAGAAAAATGTACTTGAATAAAAGGAGGTAAATATGCCAAGATCATACTGCATGTTATTAGTAAATGCGAGAGTCAGAATCCAAACCTAGGCTTCTCTGGAACCAAAACTCATTTCCTTACTCAATATGCTTTTCCATTTTCCACTGGGGAGAAGCCTGGTACCCAGATTCCAAAGCACAGGCCCTCCTCTCGGATGCTCTCCTTGGGCTTGGTCAGAGCACCTGAGCTCACCTGGAATGCATTGAGCAAGGAGAAGATGATGTGGAAGACCAGTGAGCTGTTGTCAATGACCGTGGCTATCCCGAAGCCCCAGGTCAGTCCCAGCAGTGGCGTGAGGATGGCGATGTTCTTGCTGATTCTCAGGACGGCTCGCACTTCCTGAAACATGGAGCTTCCAGTGGCAACTCTCTGGGTCTTGATAATCACCAGCATGATGGTGACCAAGTTTACTACCACGATGGCCAGAGCTGGGACCACAAAGGCCAAGAGGGCCCTTGTCATGTCCCAGTTGAGCCAGCAGGCCTCCGGCCGTAAGTAGCCTTTGCCAGGTTCAGTGACACCCACTGTGATAATAGCAATGATCAAAGGGCACCCGTAGCCCACTGAGAAGAGAGAAGCCACCAGGATTGACTTAGGCAGAGTGTGGAAAACAATCAGAACTCCATAAAGGATAAGGAGCGCCTTGGCGAGCATCCAGAAAAACACAGAAAGGTAAAAGAAATGAATGAAAAATGTTGCCGCCACACATCCCTTGTGGTGTGTCACCGGGCCACTAAGAAAGGAAGCCACGATGAACCACACATCTGCCATCAGTAAGGTGGCTGCCACGTTGGCAATGCACAGGTGACGTAAATAGGAGATCTCTGTCTTCGTCACCTGACCCCAGACCAGAGCCTCAATGGACAAGCAAATGAGCAAGCTGCAAATGGAAATGCCCAAGCCTATGTAGGTGATAAAAGTCAGAACTGGGCTCACTGGGGTGTGGCGCGACATGAGAATGGAGAAAGAGGTGAACAGCTTGCTTGGCCAACATTGACAGACAGCGTGCTGGGAGCTCTCTTCCACCATCTGACAAGCCTGGCTGTCCCATCTGCTCTCCAGGTGGTCCCAGCCCACACACTCGGTCTTCCTCTCCTCTGATTTGCTGATCTTTTCAAAAAGCAGTGAGATTCTTTTAAATTTGGGGGGCAAGATGACAGACAGGACAAGGCCATTCACAGTGACATTTTCCAAAAGACTGGCCTCCAAGATGGCCCCAAGCGTGGGAAAGGCAATGCTGATGATCTGAAAAATGGAAGGCGCTGTCTGCAGCTCCTCTCTGCCCATCAAAACCTTGCCAGTAACTGCCCTGCTGGTGTCATTAACCCTCATGGAGAAAGTGAAATTCTTCCCTTCATCATCTGCAGCTATGATGGAGCCCATGGTATGGATGAAGGTATTCGATATGTTGATAGGACTCTTGTTTATCAGTAACTTTCTTGCAAAAGAGTTGACTGAGTGGAGCAGGACACAGCTGCTGTTTCTTTCTGGGATGAAGGTCCAGTTTGAGATGCTACTGCTGTTCAGAACATGGTTGGCCATGGAGCTGTAACTCTGCTGATAGAGAATGGCAATTACTCCTGAGATCAACTTACAAAACGTGGGCCTCCAACGAGCTTCATAAGCCTCCCCCACAGAGGTTCCGAGACACAGGACCTCAGGCCCACACACTTACAAACCAGAACCAGCTCCTTCAGGAGACCCTGAGTGATGGGCATGCACAGCAAAGCTTGAGTCAGAGGAAAGAGCTAGATGGAAACTGCCAGGCAGCCTCAGCTCATTTCCATCCCATTGCCACTTCACTCCTAGGCACCCCTTTAGGGGGCCTCCTACCTGTCAGAGCGCCCAGCAGGTAACCAACAGGAGCACATTTCCGTAGAAGTGGACCCCAGAGGCACAATCTATCCTCTGCTTCAAACATCAAAAACCAAAGAAATGGATCCAGTTCCATTTCACATTTCTGCAGCAGGAAGTTGTGGCCATTTCCTTTGCATTCAATTACTTTTCCTTCTTGTGACTTGTCCTAACTCGCAAATAACAGTGAGAAAAGCCTTTCTCTCTGCAGGGCCCAGAATTTTTTTTTTTAGAGATTGTCAGCACCTAAAACAGACATTTCTACCACAGCACCAAGTGAGCACTCTCTATAAATGTTTACTGATTCGTTGTGTTCACTTCTTCCCTTTCATTCTTTCCTCAGTGAAATGTGTGGAGCACTTGCTAAGATAGACATTGGAAATACCGAGTGAAAGTCCCAGTCCCCAGCCCCCGAGAGGCTCAGAGAGCGTCCTGGCTAACCCAAATTCCTCTCCCACGGAGAGGATGCCCCGCCAGACACCCACAGCCACTCACGTGCATCTGCGCCTCTTCCACGTCTGCCATGAGAGCTGTGGATATGTTGTGCAAGAGCTGCACGATGAACGCGATGTTCCCTGGTAGCCGGGGCGACTGCTCGATGTTCCTAATCGCGCAGGACAGATCAGCCGGGCACTTCTGCATCAATTTGCCGGCTATGGTCTCTGACTTCCTGGCATATTCGTCCACCTTTCCACCTCCTCCAAAGGGGTTGCCTGACTGGGAGTCCTCCTAAGATGTGGCCAGAACAAGGACACTCCTATTATGTCAGGTTTATGTTAAGTATAAAAGCACTTCTACTGAAACTTCAAACAGCCTCATTATACAATTGTTTGCAATTACACAGTTTTCTGCTTTCCATTTTCAGTGTCACAAGTTCCCACCTGCCTGCTCTTTAACACTTTCCCCCAAAGAGCAAGTGTTATCTTTACTAGACCAGTTCAGGCTGTGCATGCATCCTGTGCATGTATCTGTGTAAGTCTGCATCAATTTCCAGTGCAACTTAAGCTCATCTTCCCTATTCCCAACAGGCAAAGCTTGAGGCACAAACATATGATAAAGACAGAAACTCTGAGCTGGATCTGGAAGAAACAACTAGGAACACCAAGGAAGTCCCTGGGCAGACTTCAGAAGCTGCCTGCTCTCGCATCTGCAGAGACAGAGCAGAGTGCCACCCTCAGCCCTGAGCCACACTCAGAGGCTGAGACAGGAGGCTCCTAATATGGAAACGCCATCAAGAGCAGGTAAGGAAAGCTCTCTCGGAAAGGAGGAGAAACAGCATCTGACCTGATCTTATCTATGGTGATTTAATAAGTAACACTTATGAGTCATGTGTAATTACTTCAGTACGTATGCAAATGTGTCGGTGTGATGATAAGGTCCTTCCCTCTGCTTCTCATGCCTTTATGAGAACAGAAATCATGCAGGGATTTTGAGAGAGCACAGGTTCTGGGTCACCAGGTCTGGGTGGGGGTGACTTGCGCAGGTCTAATGAGTTGTCAGGGATGCAGCTGGCCAGGGAGAGACAGGCTGAATATCGGAGCTTTGGGGTTAAGGGACAGAGAGTGAAGACGGAGCAATTGACGGTGAGGGCTCCAGGCCCCTCCTAAAAGATCTGAACTAGATTTGGAGGAGACAACTAGAATATCAAGTGGGAGAATGACTAAAATGAGTGACCAGCTGAACCCCGTTCCATCCAGGCTGAGTCCTGTGCTACAGGAGAAGCAGCCTCCCCATGTCTTCTTCGTTCATGTCATGGAAGGGCGTGGGGGCCTGGAACTCAAGCCCTCAGAGGCCCGGGGCTAAGAGAGGGCAGGGAGGGTTTGTGCTGCCTGTGCATGCAGTCTTCCTCCCCTCTCCAGGGCATCACAGGGCTAAGCTGAGGCTCCGCTTTGCCCTTAGAGCCACAGGAGAGAACAGACCTTACCTCAAAGATGTTGAAGGCATTAAGAGTACAGCAGGTATCAGTGACCTTGTGCCATCGCTGCTTCCTGCAGGCAAACCCCATGCTTCCCTCAGTGCCTGGCGGGCACGGCTGGCTGCAGTGGGAACTGGCCACACAGATGCCATCACACACCCCTAGGGAAAGAGAAGACAGAAGGCCTGAGCCCCACACTGCCCTGGGCCAATCACCTAGGTGTCGCTGTGGTAGGGGACAGAAAACCTGTGGACATCGTGGCATCGGGTATCTTTCCTTTGTAGTAACAGATGATTGACATGGATCTGTGTCCATCACACATGGCAGCCACTAACCCCTACTGTTCCCAGCGGAATCCTAGCCTGAACCCCCAAGTAAAATAGGTAAAAGTAGACCTGCTCCAGTTGCAGTGACCTGGAAGAGCCCCCAACTCCATCACCCAAGCCATTCTCATGGCCACAGAAGCCCACGGCCCAAGAGCTCCCCAGCTCAGCTCCAGTTGAAGTCCACTGCCCTGCGCTCCCAAAGAAGCAGACTTTAAGATGAGTCGCATCCTCAGAGATTTGCTCTGTCCACCGCCCCAGCCCATGTTGGTGCCATGTGAAGAATCCAGCAGATAGCAGCTGGGGCAGAGGGTGCAGGAGGGGAAGGAACAAGAGGTAAGGGCACAATGTCACATAGGGAAAAGAATCCAAGTCCAAGCAAAAGCCACAATGCCGTGCCATCAGCTGGGCATGAGACAGGGCTGGGGACAGCCCGCTGGTACGACACACACAATGTCTGCCATCACTAGCTGCTGCCAACATACCCCAAGGCCTGGAAGACTCCTTCTCCTTGCTGTTGCTGGCGGCCTGAAAAATCAAAATCAAAATTCACATCAACATCAATTGTCCAGATGCCTTCCCAGCAGTTCATTTTAGTCACAGAGCTGACAACTGTCTGGACCAGCTGTGCGGCCAGCACAACCACCAAAATGACCCCATTGTCCTTTGACTCCTCCTCTTTCCAGTGAGACTGGGCTGTGCTCTGCCTAGGAAACACATTGAGAGCAGGACAGATTTACCAGGCAGCTAGAGAGGTTTTGCTCTGCTCGTGTGGTCCCCTCTGAGTCCTCTGAACACACTCATGTGATCACATCTAGTGAATTTTTTAAAGCAAAATACTTCAACTCTTTCATCTCTTCATCCTGTTATTTTTGCCATTCATACTCCACCCCACTGAGGGGTCACCGGAAAAGTGGATCCGTCTGTGGGATCTCGACAAGGGGTCCAGCTGAGCATGAAGTTGGTTTGGATTTAACCAGAGGTACTTAGGCAGTTTGCAGCCATTTCCCAGTTACAACAAGGATGTCCACGTGTAAGTAGCACCAGATCCGAGAGTGTTTGTCACAGAGCAAGACAGCTGTCACCGTCCGGATAGCCTGCCGTTCACATACAAAAGAACCTTGAGTGACAGAGGCTTCCCCAAACTTAGCTACAGCCCTGCACGTCTACATAGTATCACTAAGGAGAAACTGAGGATTGTTCTGCAAAAGTAGAAGCAATGGGAAAACAACTTGCTAAGCAATGCTAGAGGAAAGACTGACTAATTATCTTCTCCTGCTTATAAAGAAAAATACAAAATCATTAGTTTGCAGGTATACAACCAAAATGTAGGAGCAAATATGAGGCAGTTCATTCACAAAAGTGTCGTTGTTTTCTTGAATATATTGCTGAATAACACTGAGTAATTACTGGGTGCAAAGTTCCCATCATTTGTAAATTTGAAATCTGTTGTGATTCTTTTTCCCTTTCTAATATTTACTTTCCTTTAATTTTTTATTTTAGTTTCATTGTTTTCCACAATGCTCCCAGAAAGCCTGGCTTCCCTCTCCTGAGCAGTCTCCCCTTCTGCCCCACCGATCCACACACACTTGATTCCTACTGACCGCATGGCTTGTTGAGACCAGGGCTGCCCCTGGGAGCAGCCACCTGGCTCAACTTCCAACATGGCCACTTGAGAAAGAGCCTCATCGGTCTGAGCCTCAGTTTCCTCTTCCATTAGCAGAGTAGGAGTGATGGTGCTAACTGGATGACACATACCCCAGAGCAGGTTGTGAGGAGCAAGGAACTCATCTATAGAACACTCTTAGAACAGTCCTGGAACAGGGCATGTGCTGTTTAAGATTCAGCTACTATTTGTATGCTGAACATGAGTACTGATCACACACAGAGCTCAAGTTTCCCTTTTCTAAGAGGTCTTCCCTGATCCGGTTCTACATGATGCCCTCTTGGGCTAGGGATTTACCTCAGTGGCACCGTACCTGCCTCGCAAGGTCCTGGGTTCAATCCCCTCCCCGGTACCAAAAGAAAAGAAATGATGCTCTCTTCTTCTGGCTCCTGTAGCATTTATCATCAGACCACACACCACACAGTCAGGGCTCAGCACAGACTCACTGGATCTGCTGTCTTGCTAGCTAATGGTTTTTATAAAAGCACGCTACCTTCTCAGTGAAATTGTAAGTTCCTAAAGAAGATGGATTGTGCATCGGGCTACCTTTCGGTTCCCCTAAGTAGCTAGCTGAGAGTCTTGTACCAATGTATGCATATATATACTAGTATTATGTGTAGACTGACACGCACAGGCAAGCCTGCACACGCATGTGGGAAAACAAACTGGATCTTCCTGTTTCTGCCCCAGCAGAGCGCCCTCTAGTGGCTGGGAGAGCTGCTCCAACTTGTGTTCCAAGATCTAAACTGTTGGGAAAGAGACTGGAAATTTAATGACCCAGTTGGGTGACTCATACTTGGGGTTTGTGTCCCTTTCTCCTTCACGATATTGTTTCTGTCTACATTCTTAAGAAACGAGGCTAATGTTACCTGTTTTGTTCGCCAAATAAGAACTTATGAGGTGTGCGGTCTCCCTACTCCTAAGGTCAAGACAGGATTCCTGAGGATTCATGGAACAAAGTATCCTTGAAATCACAGATATGAGATGACTCTTTTCATTGAGAAAACAAAGCCATTATATAAGCAGAAGAGTTAAAGTTCCTCCATGAAACCAGAGTGTAAAAGTACTTTGAGATTCTGGAAAGTTTTATAGATCGCCTAGCCCAACCCCTTATTTGCGAAAGGAAGCTGAGTCTCCGATAGATGGGGTGATCTGCTCAAGGCCATGCAGGGAGTTCCTCTGGCAGCTGAGAATGGAACTTTGTTCTCCTAATTCCTACTACAGTGCTCTTCAAAACCCCAGCCCATGATTAGGGGACCAAGCCGAGGGGACATGTATGCAAGGCGCTTAAGCTCATCTGGACAAGGCCATTTCTCCAGTACACCAGGACAAGTGCAGTCAGGAGTGCTGAACTCTAGGCAATACTCAGCCATTAAACAAAGCCTGGTGAAGTCACATTGCATTCGTCACAAGTGTGGGCAGAGCGTGGGCACAAGGCCAAGGCTGCATTTGTAAGGAGCTCCGGAAAATCTGCTTTTGAAGTGAAGGCCCCTGTCTTCATCTTCCTAGCCGATTTTCCAAGGCACATCATGGATGCCTCCTCTGGGGTAGCATCTAGGACCGGCCACTTTTGCATCAGATTCCAACAGCTCTGACCTAATCTTGTGAAGGGATGGTGGCAACCAGCAGCCTGCTGGACCTGCTGAGTGGCTGCATGCAAAGGCTGGGCAGGGAGGGCTGGCACCCACGGCTCACCATCCAAAGCTTGTCAGTGGGAAGAAAGGGGCAGGATGTTCCTGTGAGGTGATCCCATCATCAAGAAAACCAAAGCCAGCCTCTCATGCTCTGCCTACACTCCACATTCTGCCTCGTACAAAAATGTGCACGAAAAGATGGAAGTAAGGGGGAGAGGGCACCAACTGTGGGGTTGAGATGCCTCCAGAAAAGTCTTCCAAAGGTCTCTAACTTCACCCAGGAGCCAGACACCAGGTCAGGGTAGAGGAGAAGGAGAGACACAGAGTTGATTCCCGTACAAGGGCAAGCTAATAAGAGGGTGCAATAACTTGTCTGGAAAACCCATGAAAAGCACTTCCAAAGTTATGTTTTCTAAAAAAAAAAAAAAAGGAACACACTAAAACAGAAAGAGCAAGAAGATCTTAAGACAGGTGCTTTAGCCTTGGCCCCGTGGCTATGCAGCTATGTACGCAAGTTTATCCATCTACACTGGCCATGGTCTCCGCCTCCAAAGCGAGGGAGTGGAGCTGGGTCCCACAGCTCCCTTCAAGATCTTATTTTTATGCCTTCTTTCTCCCACTGCCCCTCCACTTATTTTAAATAAGTCACTAATAGGAAAATTAAAATGACTTACGGTCAGAGGGGAAATACTCCAGGGAAAGCCGCAGGGCTCACTGCCCACAAAAGTTATAATAGTACATCGGTACCAATGCCATCATGCTAGAGCTCACTTAGCCATCGACAGCCTTCATTGCTCTGTCCAGCCCATCCCTGGTGTTCACTAAGAGGATTCTCAAAGGAGATGCTCTCCCCACTTTGAATGGGCCAATTCTTTGTTGTAAAAAACCGTCTTCAGGCTCTGCCCGCTAAATGTCATTCATGCCTCCAGCCATAGTGGTGATTGTCCCAGCCCTTACATTTTCTAAGGCCCCTCAGGAAATAGGACCAACACACACACACACACACACACACACACACACACGCACGCACGCACACCAGGGGTATGAGCTACAGAAAGCTTCCTAACCCAAGGATACAGAAAGAAGTCGCTTCAGCCCCCTTGCATCTCTGAACCTAGAAGAAAACAGTGATGGGAAAATAATTTGCAACTGTTAGTTAAAACAAGTTTTTGTTGCCTATAGTTGGGATATCTTCTGACTGAGTCACTGTCACGTCTTCTCCTCCCACACCTGTGCTCGGGGCCCTGAGCTGATCAACTCAGAGCCCACTGTCCATGCACTGTCCCCACCAATCCACCCCCCACTTACCTGGCACAGCTTCCCACAGGACTCTGTGGGCACAAGAAACACCAGGTAGCACATCAAAAGTGCACAAATCATCGCCTTCCACACGGCTGACCTTCTTGCTTCTATAAAAATAAACAAAAGGCAAAACGTCTCCAATCTGAAGCCCTCATGGTGCCAGGCCCCGCAGACCCCGGCAGCCCGTGCGACTGGCCTCTGTCCTCGGATGTCTGTCTCCCTTCCCATGCCTGCAGTGGTGCTGTGTCTCTAGCCACTCACCAGGTGCTGCAGGCCTCCGTGCCAGCCCAGGCTGGAGGCAATTGCAATCAGCTCGCATGTCACACCTCACACGGGAATCCTGCCAGAGGAAGCACTCTGGCCAATTTCAGCTGGCCTGCCGGGCAATAACAAAGAGCAGCCTGCGCTTGGGAACAGGAAGACTCTGGGGTAGGCAGGGCTGAGAAACCTGTAGGTGGCTTCGGCAGAGGATGAGCTGTGGGTAAGCTCAGCCTGCAAATACCTTTGGAAGGTGAGTACTCACCAAGTGTGTCCTGTTTTCCCTCCTTCTCCTAACTCTGGAAACTGTGTTTTCCTGGGTAGCCAGCAATGCCTGGTATGCTATTGTTATGCCTACCAGAAATGGTGCCAAAACTGACACATTTCTTGACACCTGAACCAGAGTGTGACACATGATGGTACAATATACTCAATAAAGGAGGAGGAAAGGAGAGAGTGTGGAAGGGAGAGGAGGAAAGGAAAGTCAGTGGGGAGCAGAGGAAGCTGACGGCTGTCAGGATCTGTGCTATGTAAAAGGTTCACTGAAAAATGTTAGCATTAAACATTAATGGTTTTTAAATTTTTCATCCTGAGCCAAATCATCTTTCCAAGGCATTCGATGTCTTCATGTTTAGATGAAAGGATTCAGCACATTTGGACCTTATCATGAACTCCAAGAGCTATTAGGATGGTTGATATTTGCTATTTGACCATTTTGAACTAAGAAATCTTTAGCCCAACCATGCGTAATTCTACAGCAAACAATTACTTTAAAGATGGGGCAAAATTGATTTTTCAATCATAATCCCTGCACCGAATTACTAGAATCATTGAAGTTTTGTTCGAATCCAATGTGTTCTCAATATTCTGTGTGGCCGACTTCAGCCTGTTGTTAGTAGGCCTTTCCAAGTGTCTGTAGTTCTCACACGAAGGGGTAAAGGGATTACATTACTGCTCATCACTTTGGAAAATATTTAGCAGCACCACGGATGACAGGCACAGTTTCCGGTAAATTGCAGCCGCTCTTGCATCTTTTACTCTAACTTAGGTCATTCAGGTGAATGAAAATCACAACAGTGACGCTAAATAGACCACTGCAGTCACTGCTGGGGTAAAACCAAACTAGAAGAATTAAAGCCACTGATGAGTGGGTTGACATAATTCTCATAAAACCTGGGAATAGGCCCACACTTGTTTTTGCTTGTTTTTCTCAGTGCTGGGACTCAGCAAGAGCTCCCCACTGAGCCCTGCTCCAGTCCAGTGGCTGCTCTGAGTGAAGTTTATCTCCAAAACTTCCCATCATACAGAGCGTTCTCACTCTTAACTAAAAGCAGTTATACAATTTATTTAAGAAATGACATAGACAACAAGCTTTCATAGAGCTTGTGCCCCTCAGCCCAGAAATTCAAGTAGAGTTTTACTTGAAAAAAAAAAAGGGTGGGGAGTAAGTGATTCGTTGAGCTCTGGAACCAAGATGAGGATCATTTTGTTGGCTTACAATTTTAATGTATTGCATTGGAAAGAACGGGCTTTAATATTATTATCATTTTGCTTTAAATTTTTAATACAGTTAGATTTACTGTTTGTCAGAGATGCTTTTTGACTATTACTGTTGCGTTTCTACCTATGAGAAGAGGGGTGCTTGTGTTTTCTGTGGGGTCCTTGTCAGTTGTTGGACGTGGCCACATCTCCATGGGACTGCAGGTGGCCTCCTGTGAGTCCTGCTGCCACCCCAGGCTGTGGCTTCCTACAGGGCCCACCCTGCCTGCTGGGGTCCACCTGGGTACAGGATGAGGACCAAAAGCAAGAAGGCTGTCTTGCCCCACACCCTGAATTCCAGGAACAGCACAACTAATTCCTTGTGCCATTTCATTTTTTTCTCATTTCTTTTAGCTGAAAAGAACATTTCTTAAAGTTGACTCTTTTTTGTGCATGCAGCTGATAAAAACAGATTGCTGTTTACATGCAGAGCATGCTTCTTTCTAAGCGAAAATAGTATCTGTTTTTATTATGAAAACATTAAATTTTGACGCATTGCTTTTAAAGAATCTATTATCTGACTTAAACCCATTAACCTGGGTGAAGCCCGGGAAAGCATTTCTCTTCCCAGTTCATCTATACCAAGCCATTGTCATTGGCTCTTTTTCCAAGTCTGGGAAAATAGGAAGTTAACAAGAAGCCAAGGGTCTGGTGCGAGTGAAGACAGCGTGTCTCTCACATTCTTCTTTTAGTAGTGTGGCCTGGTACTGTGCCTGGGTTATCCTGGTCACTTTCACTCCCCTTTGCTTTCCTCCCCCCGCCCCCGACCCCCTTCCCTGTTAGTAGGAGACCACCTTCTAGTTTTCTGCCCTCTCTCCTTTTTGTATTTGTTTATATTTATGTATTTTTAGATTTCTTATATAAAAGGATTTCTCATTTCTTAAAGACTCATATTTTGACTACTCAGGTCCTGGTCTCCGGAGCCTCCACTCCATCTTCTTGTGGAAACCCACAGGACACTGAGATTCTGCCTCCTGTTCCTGGCCAGCCTGGTAGCTAGAATACAGATGGAAAGTGGGGGAGGCTGGAGCATCAATTGCCTTTCAAATAGATGTTCCAAATGCCGGCTCATTTCAAAAATTCATCTCCAAAAAGGCTTATCTCGTGGGCCAGGGATCTAGCTTAGTGGTTCCGTCACCTGCCTCGCAAGTGCAAGGACCCAAGTTTGATCCCAGGTACCAAAAAAAAGGCTTATCTCTTAAGAATATATGACCTAGGGGGCAGGGCCTCCCGCGGTGGCTGGAGGCGGTCGCTCGCGCCCCCTGACGGCCATGCGGACCGCGGCGGAGGCCCAGGCCCTCGGCGGCCGCTGGAGTGGCGCGCCTTTGTTCGGAGCGCGCATCCCCGCGGTGCCCGGCGCTCGGCCGGCGCCCTGTCCGTGTGGCTGGGGGCCTGCGCTTGGGCTCCGAGCGGAGGCGGCGGCGCCGGGAGGCATGCGATGGGAACTGCTGCAGGACGCAGTGCTGCGGCGCGCAGGCCAGGCGGCGGAGGATCCAAGTACTTTAGAACATGCTCAAGGGGTGAGCACTTGACTATAGAGTTTGAGAATCTCGTAGAAAGTGATGAAAGAGAGGGCCCAGGAAGCAGTCCTCTTACAGATAGGCCTCTTACAGAGGAAGAAATTGTTGACCTACGAGAGAGGCATTATGATTCTATTGCTGAAAAACAGAAAGATCTTGATAAGAAAATCCAGAAAGAGCCTTACAAGAAGAGACGCTAAGACTAGAGGAAGAAGCTTTCTTTATACGCTGCACAGCGTGAAGCAGCCAGGGCAGCAAAGCAGCGAAAGCTCACGGAGCAAGGAAGGCGGAGAGTTGTGCATCAGTATCACCACCCCAGCAATGGTGACCATCCGAGCTCAGGACCAGAAGACGACTTTGAATCTTGCATGAGAAATATAAAATCACAGTATGAAGTTTTTCGAAGTAGTAGACTCTCCTCAGATGCCACAGTACTGACACCAAATACAGAAAGCAGCTGTGACTTAATGACCAAGACAAGATCCACCAATGGAAATGACGACAACACGTCCTTAGGAACTGGAGTGGGAAGATCAGGAAGGGATGAACAGAATGTTTCTGGTGCGGGAACGCTCCAAGACAGAGGAGGACATCCTTCGGGCCGCTCTGACGTCCAGCAGCAGGAAGTAACCCCACGTCCGCCTCGGAGGACTCCAACAGGCTGGAGTGGGAGAACGACTTCGTCAGTGCCGAAGTGGATGACAATGGCAATTCCGAGTACTCTGGATTCGTAAACCCTGTGTTAGAACGGTCTGATTCTGGCATAAAACAGTCTGATGCCGATCAGCAGATTCGATAGTGTAAAACTGTTTGAGCCTGTTCATCAGTTCTGACCAAATGTTAAAAACCAATCAGAATGTAGCTGTGGTTGCTGAGCCTTGTGTCGGGGTGAGGAGCCGTGCTGTGTCCTTTTATGAGGAAGGTGTAAAAGCGTAGGATAAATCTGAATTGCTTCAGAATTAAGTGCAATTTTATCATCTGCCTTCTGCATTTTAAGACCAATTTAATGTCATGCTATCAATTAAATTTCTATTAACTCTTTACAGCATCCCTGTTCACTCTTGTAGATTTTCTCATTTTAAAAATCTTTATTAATTTTACTTTGAATGC